TTTATGTTACTCTATATCATTGATTATACAAAAACCCTATATAACTATATTTTACATATATTATATTATATAATATAATATAAACTTTGTATATATATAGACATGTATATATATATATATATATATATATATATATATATATATATATATATATATATATATATATATATATATATATATAGGTTGAGTTTTCTATTTTTAGAATAAATAATAATATAGCAATGAAGTACCATTATATATACAGTTGCATTAGATCCAATAATATGTCTATACAAGATCCCACAATTTATGATCAATTAGTTGTCAAGTTAGACTTGGATGATTCTGAAATTATAAGAAACAAATTAATTGCATTCTTAAAGAACTTGAAGACTCGTTGGAATGATGTTAGTCACAAAGCTGCAGCTTTTGAGAAAAAGTATGCAAATTGGTTGGATACTGACACTATATCTTCTGCATATGTTCCACCTGCTACTCCAACAATTGTTACCACTCCTCTTGGAAGGCCTACTTTGAATTTTGATGAGTCCTCTTTGAGATCTAAGTATAGAAAAGTTGCTGAAATGGATCAATACTCTGCTAGCCAACTATTATTTGCAACTAAAGTGAAATTTGGAAAAGGTAATCAACCTAAAAAAGCTAAATTAGTAGAAAAATTGTTAGTGGATACTATCCCCATTTTATATGTCTAGTGATGAAGCTTTGGCCCTTATTTTAGATTGTAATTTAACAAAAGCATCTTATCAACTGATGAAAAACAAAGCTGATGAAAAGGAATGCAATCTCTACCCAGCATATAATAATGTTAGAATGGCAAAAGATCGATGCTATCCTAAAAATATATGTGTAACTGATTATACTGCTAGTGTTCCACTTTAAGATCTACTGGATCACACTACAACAAGGCTTTTGGAGACACAGACTGGTGTTGTAAATGCAAATGAGTATAATAGAGTAACTCTAATATACAAAGCTGGTTTTGATGGCTCAAGTGGGCATAGTATTTATAAACAAACATGTAATGATAATGAGTGTACTAGGAATCTGAAGAGTGAAGAATCTCTGTTTATTACATGCTTTGTACCTTTAGAACTCTCATCTATTGTTAATGATAAAAAGATTATTCTTTAGAGAAACTCTAAACCATCATCTACTTTGTACTGTCGGCCTTTGCGATTTAAATTTGTAGAGGAAACTGCAGACCTTCTTTGTAGTGAGGAATTGACATTAAAAAATGAGATCAAACAGCTAACTAAAACAAGCTATATCCTACTTAATGGTAAGCCTATTGATGTTGACATTAAAATTGAAATTACTATGATTGATGGAAAAGCCCATACTGCATTATCTGATGTAACTGACTCATCACAGTGTTGCTCTCTTTGTGGTGTTAGTCCTAAAGAAATGAATGATATTGACAAGGTATATAGAAAATATTGTATATATAAACTAGTAGAAAATTACTCACCAAAGTTTTTTTATTTAACACTGTTTTATCAATAAAGACTCATCAGAAATGCATCATTTCTGATGAGTCTTTATTAATAAAACATAGTGTTAAATTTTTGTAAAGCGATTTTCTAATTTAATTTATTCTTTTAAGAACATTATTACATTTTAAAATTTGTATATATATATATATATATATATATATATATATATATATATATATATATATATATATATATATATATATATATATATATATATATATATATATATATATATATATATATATATATATATATATATATATATATATATATATGTATATATATATATATATATATATACATATATATTTGTATACCTTTTTATATTTGATTAGCTTAAAATGCAGTTTTTATTTATTACAAGTGTTACTGAAGTTGCACACTCAAAATGGATTACAATATGGGATTTCAATTCTACATGCATGGATACGAACATTCGAATGCTTAAACTATTCAATGAACATATTGCTTACAAATTGCCAGTTAAAAAATGGTCAGCAAGATTGCCAGCTGACAAGCAACAAATCGAAGTGCAACAGAAAAATATTCAACTTGCTTTTCAAGAGAAGATGGGATTGATTGTCTATAGGCCTAAGGCTGGCGGCTCAGGAACATCTAATGATGGCAACACCTCCAGAAGAGCCTTTCAGAATGAACAACTGTTTTCTGAAATCACAGGACTCAATTTTGAACTTATAAAAATGTTCCATGTTGTTCTGACTTGTATTTTATGTGGTTTTGAGCTTGATGCAGTTTTATTCAGGGAATACTGTACACATACAGCTAGGTTTTACGTGGAGTGCTATCCATGGTATTATATGCTGCAGAGCATTCACAAAATGCTAATTCATGCTCCCAGTGTTGTTGATTACATGACATTACCAATTGGGCTCTTAAGTGAAGAAGCTATAGAGGCTCGGAATAAAGATTTTAAAAAGTATCGTGAGCATTTTACACGCAAGTGTGACCGTATCAAATGTAATGAAGATTTATTTAAGCGATTATTTTGTTCTAGTGATCCAGTCATTTCTTCACTAAAAACAATAGTTAGTACTAAGAAGAAGGTTTTGCCAGAAGGTGTTCTGCAACTGTTAAAAAACAGTGTTTAGTTGTTTTTTTTATGGAATTTTACAGGCTAATTTTTGGTTTCTTTAGTTATTATTAAAATTTAAGTTTACGCATTGTAAATTAAAATTGTTAATATTCTATAATTAACATAAATTAAAAATTTCCCACATACATTTATTTGGAACACCAGAGCATTTAAAATTCTATTTTTTTAATAATTTGCAGTAAATAAGTCAAGAATTTGTATAAAATTGACTGTCACTATAAAAATATATAAGATGTTGCTATGCATAATAAGGTATCCATAGCAACCAAACTAAATATCATAATATAAAACGCATACCTCGTATTGGTACTCTTACCAAATTTAGTGTGTATGACACACAAAAACAACTACAAGTAGATTTATGCTACGCCAAAATAAGTATCCACAGCAACCAAATAAAAAAAAAACACCTTTATAAAAAGCGCAGACCTTACACTGGTGCTCATGCAAAATTTAGTGTATATAGCACTATGCAAAATTTCGATATCTATAGCAACTAAATAAAAAATAACGTCTTAATAGGAGGCGCAGACCTTACACTGGTGCTCATGCCAAATTTAGTGTATATAGCACACATAACAAATCTGCAACTACAAAAAGTAGATTGTTGCTATGCAAAAAAAAAGGTATCCATAGCAACTAAATAAAAAACAACATTTTCATAAGAAGCTCTGACCTTATATTGGTACTCATGCCAAATATAGTGAATGTAGCACTAATATTGAATTAGTTATTAATTTTGTCTCAAAATTGACCATTCTGGCCCACTGTGCCTTGTTTATGTTTATCAAGGTAGTACGGACATTTAGATACCGTAACTTTGTACCAATTTTGATAAAGAAGATAAGTGATTGAAAAAAAGGGACATTTTCCCAAATGTCCTTTCCATTCATTGTATTCACCAAATCCAAGATTTCATGGAAATAATGAGGTGCTCAATGTTACCCGGCAATGGGGTAACTTTGTCATAGTAAACTGTTTTTTTAGCAATGGATGTAAATTAACTGTTATTAACCACATTTAATGTAATTTAAATTTACAGTTAGCATTTATTTCAAAAAGGGGTACCTAAAATATGTCAAGAAATTAAAAAAGAGACAACAAAAATAAATATAAACAGTATTAAAGAAACATATTAGCTAAAATAATTTGATTTTTTATTATTTTTTAACTCAATGATTGAAAAAACTTATTAATTTTTTAATTAAATGTCAGAAAAAGCAAAAAATAAGAGAGTACTAAAGAATTAACAAACAATTTCTTACGTAAACTCTGTTTTTTTTAAAAAAAAGTTTAAAAGTCTCTTCAGTAATCTATCATAAATTCAATAGAGACTGATTCCCATTCAGATGCTGTTTCTGTTTCACTATCATATTCAGAAATAGATTTTCCTGGTTCAATTTTAAGTCTTTTTTTAGATATATTTTTTTTATTCTTATTTTTACTTTGTGTAACATCTTTCTTATCACCACCTTTATTTTTTTTCTCATTTAATATGTCTAAAAAGCTCTGGTCTAAAGCTTTACAAGGACTCAAAGTGTTTTCACTTGGTAATTTGATATACACTGCATTAGAATTAAATTTTTTCTCAAACATTCATTAATAGATGCCATTAAATCAATCAGCAACTTAGAGAAATCTTCTTTTGGTAACGTTGCAAACTTTTTACCACGAGAAGTAAGTTTCCAATCCAGAAGTATACTTCTCCGAGCTTTTTTAATGGTGCAAAGAATGCAACATCAAGAGGTTGAAGTAAATGGGTTGAATTGGGCAGAAAGCATATGAATCTATTTTTATATTTTCCACAAGAATAAATAACTTTATGACTTAAATGGGAAGATAGGTTGTCACCTATTAATACTTTTTTCCCAGTTTGTTTCTTAACGCATGGCAATAATGTTCAAAAAAAACCAATCCTCAAAAGTAACTTCATCAAACCAGCCAGATTGGGTTCTGTTAAAGCGAGAATTTTTTGGACCAGTTTTATCCATAAATCATATAAATGTGTGCTTTTAAAAACTGTGTATGGTGGAAGATTTTCTCCGACACCATTTCCACAAAACATTACTGAGAAACAAGCCTTGCTGCTATTTATTATTCTCTCAGGGTATTTAGTTTCACGTTTCATAACAACTTTTTTATTTCCAGGGTCGTCACGCAAATTTGTTTTATCATAATTCCAAATATTGCAAGGTGGAATTTCTTCAAGCTTAAGTCTAATATTGTCAAAATAAATTTTTAATTGTTCTTTATTTATAGCTGCACGTTTTCTTTTAATATTTGATGCTATTCTATGAGTTAACTGTGAACGTTCCATAAAACTTGAGACCCAATCATCACCAGGAACATTGTTTTTAAATACTTTAGCAGTACAATTTTGCAATTTTGAATAACCAGCTACTAAAATTTTAACATCAAGTTTATTTAATGGAAATCCGCAATCACACATAACCTTGATTCTAGATGAAAATAACTGCTCCTCATCATAATTATGGTGCACCAATGCTTTTTTTATGTTTTGACTTTATTTTATTATGTATATTGCTTCTTGGTATACTAAACCTTTTTGAGGCTTGACGAATAGACATATCTCCATAAATTGCACCCTTACACTTTTTCAAAAGAATGGTATTAGAGCAAGTGTTTATTACAAGTTTTCCAAAAATATGCTTCTTATATTTACGAGACATTATGCTTTAAACAAAAGTAAATATAAACAACACAAGCAAACAATGTTGTTTGCTTTCATTTTTATCTTTACCCAGACAACATTTTGTTTTACACTTTTTGATTGTGTTTTACCAAGATGTAATTTTCATTCTTTTTCACTTATAATAAAGAGCATTTGCAACAAACATCAGATCAAAATTTAAGCAAGAAAGATTGCATTTAGAAACAAAACAAAAATATTAAAACGTTACTTAACTGTTTAAAAGTTACAGATGTTTGATTATAACTTTTAAAAATGGTTAAAGTTACCCTGCTGGCCAAAGTTACCCCGGTTTACGGTTCACTTCTAACAGTTATAAGCCGAAATCTTTATCTCGTTTTGAGTTTTAATAAATCAGACGGATTGAATAAACTACTACAGTATCGGTACTGTGGTAGTTTATTCGTATCCGGTACTGTGGAAGTTTAATCGCTTGACAATTTTCTGCTGGGTATACCCAGTAGAAAATTGTCAAGCGACTAGATAAGAGGTTGGAAAGGGGTTGTAAGGGTAGACAATTTTATGACGATTTGTTACGAGGGGGAGTCAGGGTCTCGATTTTGTAACGCAAAATTTTTTTGTTTTTATTTTGTTTTTGAGAAGACGTTTTCTCAAGAATCTTTTATACTATTTGAAAAACAATGTCTTCTATTGTCAATTTTAGTATTCCAAATGTTATTAGAATAAACTTAGCAAACAAAAATAGGCTATAAAGAAGTCTCAAACGTAGATCGTTTCTCACACACACACGCTATTTAATGAACTCAATATCCTAGATGTATATAAACTAAACCTCTATCATGTTCTAATTTTCATGTTTAAATTTGATAAAAATATATTACCAATCTTATTTTATTCAATTTTTGAAAAAATAAATCACATATAAGCAGAATCCACTCGACCGCGCTTACTTTGCTAATTGGAAGAAAATTGTATTTATAAATTAATATTTTTGCATGTATAATATGTTATTACTTATTATATATTATCTATATATAATACTTTGCATGTATTATATATCGGAAAAATAGATTTTTAATATTGGTATCATGTTTAGGAGAGCGATGTTAATTTATACAATTTTACTCGGAATTATTGGGGTGAAAAACAAATATTAAACAGACTAAAAAGTACTAATTAATAAACTCAAAGAAGCTCAGAGAATTATAGGCATTATTATATTTAAAATCGTTTTGTACTTTTTTCAAATTTTGTACTCACTTCCGTCCTCCCTAAAAATATTTACAAAAAACTTTTTAGGGAGGGGGGTATAAAAATTGTTGCGTAATATAGGGGGGGGGGGTCAATAAAGGATTACGGATGTGTTACGAGGGGGAGGGGTCAAAAAATGATAACGATAAAGACAGCAATTTTTATTTGATCTTTAACGATAAAGACAGCAATTTAGCCACATATAGACCATTAGGTATTTTTTTTTTAATTGAATTTAATAAAAAATTACTATTACAGAATAACAGAATAGCTTTATTAAAAATATAATCGGCTAGACTTTCAGAAAATCAAACGATTTTATCATGTACCTCTTTACAATATCAAATAAAATAAATGATAAAAAAATCAAATTAACCAACAAAGATAAATTAACATAAACTATTTATAACTTTGCGTTTAAAATAAAAATATACTAGAGAAATTGTATGATACACTGTAAAACTTTACCGTGAAAATCACGGTACTATACCGTTACCCATAAATGCCAGTATAGTACCGTGATTATTTTACAGTATAACACCGTGAATAAATCACGGTGAAACGCCGTAATTTTACGGTAGAATACCGTGATTATTCTATGATAAAATAGCGTGAATTACGGCATAGTACCGTGATTAATTCAAAGAAATGCCTCGTTCATTAATCGTATAATATATATTGTACAATAAAAATCGGTACAAAATATATTTTAACTATCTTCAAAAAAAAATTCGCCTGTTTAACTTTTTCTTCGTATTATGATTATTACCGTGATTTGTTAAAATTGTTTTATCAAGTGTATTTTCAATCATAAATATCTATCAACATATATGCTTATTTATATGCTAATGGCAACAAAAACACGTCATATTTTAAAAATCTTTTCAGTTTTAATTTATTTACATGTTTATAAATAGAAATAGGTACTTAGATAAATTAAATGAATATAAATAAGTTAAAGCAAAATGCAAATTTTAAATTTCTGATATACCAATATGACTTTATATAAATAGTTATATTCGGAAAGTAGAAGTAATTAAAAAATAAAACAAGATATTATTGTAAAACCTTTGAAAATTTACAAACAAATATAAATAACTACATAATAAATTGTTGTTTGAGTTAAAGTTAGATGAAGGATTTTAACATGGCAAATTCAAACATTAAATTTCGCAAACTTCTGCAGTATCGACAGCACAATTTTGCTTATTGATGAAGTTTTCTTCGTTCGCCTTGATTTGCTACCCTTTTCCGGATTGATGCCAAAAAATGCACTAGAATGGTCAGTAATATATGTATAAGCAATTAACGTTTAAAAACATTCATAAATAAAACATACAACCAAAATCAAATACATAATAAACCTTAGACAAATTAAATAAATTTATACCGTTGACAAAATTCTAATATTGAAGAAGCTTCTTTTGGATATGGTATATTGAAAATATAAAAACTAGCAAACAAACAACAAAATGAATTGACAAAATTGGTCATCCCATCAACCACAACAATGCAATCTATTACCAGCATGAATCGATTTGCTGTGAATAGCGAATTTCCTAAAAACAGAATGTAATTTGACTTGTACACTGAAAAATCCACTTAAGTATATTTAAAGAAAAATGATAAAGTTCATCCTTTTTTTCAAAAACTTAAAACATATTAAACTTATAATTCAACGTACCATAAACACGTAGATGTGGAAAGTTTGGTCCTGGTGCCAATTCTGTTTGATCCACTGTCTCCTAAACATTTTTTTCTTACTATCAAATACTTTGAAGTAACTACATTGCATGTTATTATAAAAGTGAAACGATTAATTGCTTGAAAATTTTTATCGAATGTTTAAATTATTAAATTATTTATTTTTTTTAACTTACATCCACAAACATAAAAAGTGTGTCAAATTTTTCATTAAATAAAGTAATCAAAGCCATTACAAGACCAGGAGCCACAGGTAAATCTGACAAAGTTTCGTGCTTTGCTTTATCTAAATCTAATATCACCTTCTTCACTCCAAGGTCTGTTATTCCGCAACTACACAAAAATAAATATAACTTTTCATCATCTAGAGCTTTTGTCAGAAGTTCACCAGCATTAACTCCACCCATCAAAACATCAAAATGATGTAGCAAACCTTCAACCTAAATATAAAAAATTAATTTAAATACATAGATATACTAAAACTAAACAAAATAAACTTCTACAAAAATATAATTAAATAAAATATAGAATATAAAAATGAAATATCTAGTTATCATTATATTGATTAATATATACTGGTTAGTAATATAAATTATAATATTTTTAAATAAAAATAATTTAATTTACTGTAAATAAATAGGGGAATTTTATCAACAAATCATTCAATAGCATCTTTTCATTTATTTCAGTTCGTTGGAGATAATAATCAAGTTCATCAGGGCTGATTGAAACACTGAGAACTGGTGCTCGGTTCAAGCAACCATAACTATCAGTTTTTCTTTTTATGACATCAACTGGCAATTGTTCATTTTGGGTTTCCAAATTGAAAACATTTAGTAACGGTGGCGCACGGTTTGGCCGCTGAAGATAGTCATAACGGTTTACTAGTTGTAACGTTAAACTGTCATGACCGCTACCAATTACTGTAGTACCATATTCATCTTTAAATGATTGAGGATATTTGGCAACCATAGAAGATGCAATTACATCTAAATGTTTTTTCAACGGCTTTGAGCAAACAGCAAGGATATCATTCATAATAATCCTTATGATTGTACACCGATTTGCTGTTGAAGGTCTTTCTCCAGCTGCTAATATATCTCGTACCTCTTTAGACATTTTTTCCCAAGGTAAAACAAATGCCAAATACCAATCAGCCGCACTTACATGCTTAACCTTCATTACTAGACAGAATTGAAACTATATTTAAAACAGAGCAATTAAATATTTATAGAACACTAATAAAATATTTTTTCACTTATAATGGTTTATTAACAACTTTTTTTAATAACTTACTCGATTTAGTTGAGTTATTTTTCAGTTCAACTGTGGGCATCATTTGCATGCTGCATTGTGTGGCAACAATAAAATCTACAGGATTTTGAGATTGTTCTGCAAAACGTTTTAATAATATTATAAATAAAAATATATAAATGTATATGATAAAATGATAATTATATATATATATATATATATATATATATATATATATATATATATATATATATATATATATATATATATATATATATATATATATATATATATATATATATATATATATATATATATATATATATATCATATATCTTTATTACCAGAGCTTTCCTTTGCCCAAGATTCAAGGATTTTGCGTTGTTGGATGGGTTTTAGCAAAACCAAATCATCAATTTTCACCAAGTAGAGATCTGTTTCATTTTCAACACCTATTTCCCATAAATTATTCACAACCTGGTTCAAAACACATATGTCAATATTTGGCAATGTTCTTAAAATATTACTTTTAATAACCTCCATTATCTAAAAAAAAGAGATCATATATATCATGCACATATTACAAAAATATCCCATATATCATTATAAATTATATACAGTCATATACAGAGTCATGTTATATTGTAGGTCAATATTAATATATATATATATATATATATATATATATATATATATATATATATATATATATATATATATATATATATATATATATATATATATATATATATATATATATATATATATATATATATATATATATATATATATATATATATATATATATATATATATATATATATATATATATATATATATATATATATTTTAAGATAAAAACTGCAGACATTAGCCAAATACTACAAATAAAATAGTTTACAAATAAAATCTTTTATTACGATACTGTCAAATAAAATATACAACTTTTTAAAATTATTTATGTGAAACTATTGTTATTTAATGAGCATGACACAGAGTGCTTTAAGGAAATAAAAGAACGATTGCAGTGCTTGTAAGATGGTAGCGGAAGGTAATCTATTAAAGAAGCAATCATTATACATCGAATCTCTTTATGTTCTCCACAGACCTCATACATACCAAGCTCATGCACCAATTGTGTGTTCTGCTCATTAACAAGAACATATTCAATTCCATGTGTATCAAAAAAAATAAACAAAATTCTTGCAAAAATAGGAAGTTCATGATCCTTCGTAAAGTCAATAATCAAGAACAAATCTTTTTTGTAATGGGTACCTTGATAGACAATATGGGTAGAAAATGTATCCAGCAGTTGTCCGCATGTAGATATAATTGCCTCAAAAATTGTAGAACTAAAATTTGTGATATTGAATGAAAATGAATTGACCGCATAATTTTTTGAACTCGGTATGCTTGAATTATTGTATGATTGCAACAATTGATGTGTCTCAGTTAAGGTTTTACATACATGCTTGTAATTGTTAAAATTTCTGGCACACTTTTTAAAGTAAGAATGCTTTTGTTCAAACCTCAAAGTGAAAACCCGCATTAGAGGCCCGTAACGCAAAATTAGCTGTGGATAGTGGGACAAATAATGATGTTTTGGTAATAGTTTCTTGGAAGGAAATAATTCTTTACGAGAAGACAAATAGCCATTTATTGAAACCTGCAGATAAGCAATATGTTGAATGTCAATTTTGGGTGAGCATATAATCTCCACAATTTCTTTCAGTTTTAAATACAATAACCACACAGGATCTTCAAAATCTGTAATGTAAATTCCTATAAAAAGGGGAAACAAACGCAAAAACACCCAGTTTTGAACTGCATGACCACTTAACTTTTCAGTACAAGAAATTTTATTCACCTCACAAGGTTTATCCAAGGCATCTCCTTCAAAATACTTCTGCATGTTAATTCTTCTATTGATATTGTTAAATGAAAACCATCGTTTACTAACAAAATATTTAACAAATAGATACATATCTCGTGAAGCAACGCCTTCAAAAATATCATGAGCTAAGCATGGTGGCAAACCTGTAGTCACATGAAATCCGCATAAATCATTGAATGGTGACTGAAATTTTATTCCTTCAAAATTGTTACCATTCTGAGCTAATTGAAGCAGGCTATTATTGTGGCTTGATTTTGTCCGATCAGATCCGGAGAATTGAGGGTTAAAATCAAACTCTGCACGTGTTGCTAAACAGTATCGACAAAAGTGCGAAACTGTGCTAAAATTTTCACAAAAACCTCCTATAGAATGTGATCCTAAATTATCTCCTAGTATGCATAGAAGTTTTGTTTTTATTGATAAACTTTTAGAAACAGAAACAGAACAACCAGATATTTCTGCCAATTCAGAAAAAATTGGTGCAAACACTTTGCTGAGGCCAAAGTACTTTAAATCTGTATCTTTACACATTAGAACCAGCTGTAACTGCTCCGATGCATATCTCTTGTGGGATGGAATATTTGCTAATGTTAAGTAAACCGCAAGAATTTTATGTTTTTTCCTTCCTGATCCAATTGGGTTGACAATTTCAAAAGAATCTTGATATAGCATTAGATATAAAATTTCATCATCAGACTTTGCAATATCTTTAATTAGGGATCCACTCATTAAGTCTGTATATATACCAAAATTTTCCTCCGGTTTTAGCCAAAAACCAGGTTCATTACTATGTTTATTGTACATCATTTTTAATAAATCCTTTATTGGAACATAATGAACAGTTCTAGATTTTTTATTGGCATCAAAACGTAAAGTCAATTCTCTTGGAGATATATAACTCATGTGTTTATGAAAATAAGCTTTCCTTTTTTTATTAGTACTTAAAGCGTACAAACTGTTTATCTTTGTATGTTCTGACTTAGAAAATTCTGCTAAAACATTTTCACAGATATCACTGCTTTGATTGGACATTGCAGATGACAGACTTTGAACAGATAATAAAGAACTTGAATGATTTGCTACCATAAGTTCATCAAAAATAGATTGAATACAAGAAGCTGGTATTATATTTTTTACTTGCAATTTTAAAAAAAAGAGAGCTTGATCCTTTAAATATTTTTCAGAAGAAATATCATCAATACCATCAAGAAACTCTTCATTTTCATAGTGTTCTAAAGATTCACATGTAAAGCTTTCTTGTTCAAGTGTGCTAAAATCTTTATCGTTATTAAGAAGAATAAGAAGTTAATAAGAAGAATTTAAGCTATGTACAATATGCACTGGCATGATAAAACTTGGATCCCATTGCTTATGCTTTCTGCTTATATGAGATGCAAATGAATTTCGATTAGTGTAAGAACTTTTGCAATTCATGTAAGGACAATGAACTGTGTCAAGTGAGTCAAGATGTAATTTAAGATGTAAAATAAACTGAGATAAACCAGCACATATTTTTTTACATAATGCAATATCACATTTAAAACTTTGGAAAATCTTATTTATTTCTGTTATTGGTTTATTTTCCATGATGATTGTATTATGAGCTTTTCTTATATGCAATTTGAAAGTTGAATATGTTTTGAAAATAATTCTGCAATTTTTAATGCAACAAGGAAATTGAATATTAGCTAAATTGCGATGGCTTTGATAATGAGTCATATAACTCAGCAACGATTTCATTTTTTTGCCACAATGGTTGCATGCTTTTAAATCCAATTTAGACATTTTCTTTTTTTAGAAAAAAAAATCTGCATAATAATTAAGCGAGTTGCGCGTTTCCGATGCTGATAAAGAGATTTAAGTTTAATTTTGTGCGCGCTTTCCCATACAATAACTCAAAAGGCAGTGCATAAACGAATAATACAATTGCAACATATGGTGTTCCACAAAGATCCATAGTTCTTTTAAAAATTCTCATTATAAACTAGGAGTATGCATCAACTTGTCTAAAATTTTTGTTACTGTCGATCACTAAATTTTATTACAAAAATTAAAACTCTATTGCATAAGAGATAAATTCCTTAGCTAGTTCAAAATCTATCTTAGCAATTGCGCGCAGTTCATTAATATTCAAAGCTGTGTTGGATATTAACGAACTGCTTACGATTGCTAAGCTTTTGAACCAGCTAAGAAATTTATCTCTTATGCCATAGAGTTCTAATTTTTGTAATAATATTTAGTAATCGTAACAAAAGTTTTAGGCAAACTGATGAATACTCCTAGTTTATAATGAGAATTTTTAAAAGAATCAGAAATGATGCGTGCTAATTGGAATATGGCGTGTTTGGTCAGATTTTTTTCTCTGGAAGCCAAACTGGAGTATTGTATTAAAGTTTAGTATCAAAAAAATAATTGTAGAGATACATTTAGAGAAAAATACTTTTAAAGAGTTTAGAATAGGTCCTTGCGCAATAGATACTTTACAAACTTTAAAAAGTATATCTTTTTAAACTTTAAAGAAGTCTATTACAAAATTTCTATTGATGCAATCAGTCCCAATTACCTTATTTCGTTTTATTGATTTAAATGCTGCTTTAAATTTATGATCATCACCTAATTCAATTTAAAAACAAACCTAGCATGCAGCATAATTAAATTTATTTCAAATTTAGTTATACTGCATGTTAGGTTTGAAATATTTTAAGTTGAATTAGATGATGTTATAAATTCATCATTTGATTCGTCATTAAGATAAGGAGTTTGTTAAGCTCCGAATGAAGAAAAAAATTTGTTAAAATCAAAAGCAATTTTATTCGACGTTATTTTTACAATTTAAGAAGTTATTTTTTATGCTTGACTGATTCAGATTTTAGATATTAATATACAGTTTTTGTGTCACTTTCGATGATTCGATGATGTTTTTAATGTTTGAAATAACCAACTTATACAACAAGAATATTCCAAATTTTCTCTCTATCTCTCTCTCTCTCTTTCTCTCTTTACATATATATATATATATATATATATATATATATATATATATATATATATATATATATATATATATATATATATATATATATATATATATATATATATATATATAGAGAGAGAGAGAGAGAGAGAGAGAGAGAGACAGACAGACAGAGACAGACAGAGAGAGAGAGAGAGATTAGTTGCAAGTAAATTTTTGAATTTTTTTTATCTAAATAGAAGGGCAGTTAAGAAATTTGTATACATCCATTATTTGCAATTCGTATTGATAAGTATCGTAGTAAATACGGTAGAATTTATGTTTTATCATGTTTTATTTATTGCATAATTTTTTACTTTAATATACTATCTATAGATGTTAACTGCAATATGAGTTGTGTAATCACTTAACATTTGATTTGAATTTGTGCTTTGAAATAGCGGACCAGTTTATTTATATTAATCTAAAGTTTGTTATTATTATTTTAAATGTAGCACAAAAATCAAAACTGTGGAAAACCCATTTTAATCAGTCTTTTGTTTTCCAGACTTTAAAGTTTGGAATCAGGGTGGCTTAAAATAATAATTTAATCTACTAAACTTTATTTAAATAAATTTATTTTTACTTTCTTTTTTGTAAATTATGAAATAAAATTAGGTTTTAATTTTATTTATTTGTAAATTATTGTTTTATAGCATTAAATACAATTTATTTAAATAATATTTATATTTTTACCTCCATAAAAAATTTGCAGAATAAACAATTTCTCGGAAATGAGCCACGATGTTTGAGTTTGTTAAGTTCTGAATGCTTAAATCTACTGAATTCTTAACAAATATTCTTGTGAGCTATTGATTTGAGCGACGATACTAGCATTTAGATTTGTTGTGTGACATAAAGTTAAAAAAAAGTTTAGCTTAATCTTCAACATAAACTCTTTAAGGTAAAAAGTTTATTAATAACATCTGTCTTTAGTATTTTCTTTATATTTTTCTTATTTTTTTATTTAAGATTAAAAAAATTAGTTTCGTTACCATTTTGCAAATCAGATGTCACTGCATTTAGAAATAACCAATTGAGCGACATCAAAATAAAAATAAGTAAAATAAAACCTTTAATTTTTTTATCATATGATTATTTTTAATAATCATATGATGACTAAATTGTCCGAGCATAAAATGATTATAAAAAAAAAAAAAAATAAGTAAGAAAAAATATAGTAAAAATAAAAAATAAGTTAGAATAAATATAGTAAAAATAAAAAATAAGTAAGAATAAATATAGTAAAATTAAAAAATGATAAAAATAAGTAAAATGGGGAGCAAAAATAATAATAATAATAATAATAGCAATAATACCAATAATAATAAAAATGATGTACTAGTTTTTATGTCCAAAAACTTAATCCTTAAACTGATGGCTATAATCCAAAAACTGATAGATAAAATCAAAAACAAACAAACAAACAAAAAACAACTAGTTATCAGAAGTTTTTATTTTTAAAAGTTATGAAAAACTCAAGCTTTATTGTAAAACCTTGTAAACCTAGCTTTTGCTCATAGATATGACGGATCCAGGGGGAGGGATTGGTTTAATGCGCCCCCTCCCCCCACAGACATACCATAATTTTAAAGTCCTAAAAATATCTTAGAAATTGAGGATCTTTTTTTTTTAGGAGAAGCAAATATGGTACAAAATACAAACATAAACGCCTGGATCTGACAATATTATAGATCAACTTTGTTCAATTTTACTAGCATAGTTCTAAAGTTCTTTTTTTAATTTTATTTTAGTACCTCTAATGATTTTTTTGATATTATATTTATAACACTACTTTTTTAGTCCATCTGGTTGTGATAAACTCTGCAGTCATAAAAATCTTGCTTCATTGGCTTTACTTTGTGGAGCAAGTCACTTTTAAACATTTTAAAAAATTAATCGATTTAAAAAAAAAAAATTTTATTAAAATACTATTGAGAATGCCTGGGTTCCTTAAAGCAGTAATAGGTCATTGTTATGTTATTGCAAAACTTCAGATGATAAGTCATCACAAAGCCAAACAAAAATAAACACAGTCATCATCGCAAAGCCAGCAATTAACAACTCTTATAATTGATACTTAGTTCAAATAGTCAATGCAAATGCCCCAATTTTTTTATATTCAATGATTCATCTACAATTAATGAGATTTCAAGTTGAAAGTGTTTCGATAATTTACTGTTTATTGTCATAGATTTTCTGGAAAAAGAGTTTGTCATTGATTTCTGATACAGGACTCTAATATTTATTACTTTGAGAAGAAATGTTCTAAATTTTTTTAGAAGTATTATATTTTAGGTATGCTAAAGTATCTTTTATTATCATTTTTTATACTATATAATTTACTTATATTATCTTTTATTGTATAATAAAATTGTGCAAAAGTAACTTAATAAAACAACTGAAATCTAGTGTAAAACAAACAATTAAAATAACATAAATACATTGTTTATAATAATAAATACAAAACATCATTAAAATATATATACTTTTAAGCGCGTATATGAAATAAATGTGAAAGAATAAAAAAGCTATATTTTTCTAATACATTTTGATTGTGTTTGTATTTTTTTTTACAACATGTTATGGTTTCAAAAAAATGTTTTAGTTTTCCCATTTAACTTAAATTAGTTTTTAATAATGACAAATGAGGAGAAAGAGTTCCAAATGCATTCCTACTCCATTAGTTGTGTTGTTCAACATTTTTCTCAAACAAAATCAATCAAACGCAAATTTGTTGTTTGAAGAAAGGAGTGTTTTCAAAATAAAAAACTAATTAAAAGTTTTAAGATTAAACCAAGCCTCTCACTAGAGAATTTTCTCATAGCTTTATTGCAAAAGTTTGAAAGAAACCTGTTTTTTTTTTTAATTTTTAAATCAAAAAAATTGCATAACCATTCAAAGTCTAAAAATAAAGTGCAAAAACCTGCTGAAAATTATTGTATTACAATTTATTTCTGAAAACTTCTGTATTATTGAAGATGATTAAACTTAAATCAAGTACAATGATAAGTATACTCCTGGTGCTGTCTATTATTAAGCAAATTAAGCAAAATATAGTTGAAAAGTAGATTAGAAATTTAAATATACAAAATATTTTAAGTTTACTAAAAAAGCTATAATTTAGGCAAACTATTCGCTGGTGTGGTAAAGTAGGGGAGGTAGGGGAGCATTGGGCACTTTTTTACATAAACGCTAATAAATCTGTTATTTTTTATCATAATCAAAATTTTATTTCAAATATATCTAGCACACATATTTGGCATTAATTATTGCTAAGAAGAGTTTTAGTATTATAATTAGTTGCAAAGTTACAAAAGGTTTTCTAACACGTGTCCAAAGTGCCCAAACCTCCCCGTGGTTGGGAGTTTTGGGCACCCCTATGGGGAGGTTTGGACACTGTATTTAATATGAACGATATTGTTTTACTATACTCATATGCTTAAGTGTTATATAGCATTGCTATAAAAAATTGTAACACAAACATTTTTTCATATCATAGACTTTACAAAAGATTAAACAATGTTACTTGGAATCAATACTCCACAATGTTGGACCTAATAAGACTTATCTTATATTTGGTATGACCCAAAAAGGCTTGTCAAATTTATATTTTAAACTGCCACGTTTTATCCATGTTGATGGTGTAGGCATTTTTGTCTTTATATCCTCCAGGGGGACACTGGCTACGTCCTCGATGTCAGGAAACATAAACGTATTTCTTATCTTACTCGCTCTCATGAATTTGACAGTTGCCATGGAGTGATTAACCTCTTCGACAATTCCAACATAATGATAAACAGTTTTTTTGGTGTCAAATTTAACCAACACAAAGTTATTAACCTGGAAATTTCTATCCAGAACAATCACATCGTCTACATCAAAATCTTCTTTTGATGAATCGATTTCAACAAAGGCTTCGTCAGAATCGAAAACATTTTTTATTTCATCATCACTACTAATCTTCCTGTTTTTCTCATTTTTAGAGCATTTTCGATTTTTGTTGAGCTCTTTGATCTTATTTTTTCTTTGTTTTTTTCTTCTTCAATTTCTATAAGTCTTTTCTCGGGTGTGTCTGTCAATATTCTAGTTTTTCCTTTCTTCCGTTTCATGCCACCCAATTTCCTGGGGCCGGCTTTCGGATATGGTCTTACTAAATCAGGTGTTACATTGACAGTGCCACTAGTCTCGCTTTTAGATAGAGATTCAAGTTGAGATGGCCCAGTGACTTCCACATTTGAACTAGTACGATCTTCTAGTCTCAGATTTTCTTCTGTTGAAGGCTGTTCCATGATAGGTTGGTCTGAAATCGATTTTTCTGTAGCAACATTATTCTCTCCCGGCAAGTAGCGATCAGTTATAGAAGAACAAACAAAATCTTCATCAGAGAAAATGTTTGAATTGAATGGCCAAATGCCAGATTTTTCAAATCCCGTTTGAATATTTTGCAACTTGAATGCAAGTGGGATGGCCTTTGCTGCTAATTTTGGGATTTCATAAATTGTTATCGTTTTGCCAGGATTGCTCACCATCCAATCTGTTACAGCAGTGTTATAATAAGTTTTGAGTGGTCCATAGACAGTCAGGTCTAGGGGTTGCAGTTTATGGCTGCAGTGCGGTGGGAAAGTTATTAAAACAATGCCTGATTCTATACAAAAATCGAGAACTGGTACAGAAATATGGCTCTCGTGATTGTCCAGCAGCAACAGAACTGGTGATGAAGGCGTTGGTTTTGCGTATTTTTTAAAATGGTGTATATATTTTAAAAAACTTGATGCTGTCATCCACCCTGAAGGATGTGCTGCTCCATCTGAACCAACAGGTGCATCATTTAACATATATGTTTTGAAAATAACTCGTGGGAATATGAAAAAGGGTGGTATTGAGTTACCCAATGCATTAATGCCGCAGCAAACAGTTACAAGTGTCCCTCTTTCAGCTGACGTTACTTGCCCAACTTGCTTAGTGCCTCTTAGAGCAATCACTTTCTGGGTTCGTTGTACTGTTGATAATCCAGTTTCATCTATATTGTAAATAGACTCAGGGCCAAAACGATGTCGTTCATATACAGTTTTAAGATTTTCAAAAAAATCTCTAACATTTTTCTTATTGAAACTTGTGGCACGTGAGAGACTAGTAGCTTCTGGGGTCCTTATCGAAAGCTGAGGTTGTCTTTTAAAAAATCCCCCTAGCCAATCTTTCGATGCAAGTTTCTTCTCTATCCAGTTGTCTGGTATTTTTTTATTAATGGCAGTGGCATATTCGTATACTAATTCGCGTGCTTTCAGTTTTGACATTCCATGGTTAAGTTTAAACAATGTTACAAAATATTCTGAAATTTTTTCTTCTTCATCTTTTGTGAATATTTGGGATGATATATATTTACAAGAAGTATCTTTCACAGCGCCACCCTGTTTTATGTATCTTTGAAGGTTAGACCTGGGTATATCATATTTAATCGCAGTAGTTTTAATTTTTCCTCCTTTAGAAACCTCTTCCAATGCACGCAAAATTACATCTTTAGGGATTTCACGTCGTTTATTTTTCTTTTTAAATAAAAACGGCATTGTCCTGAAAAGAAATGATTAACCATTCAATCCAATAGT